GCAATCGAAATTATGTGCGATTTGCCATTTTTCCATTTCTTGAAATAGCCTGATCGATTTTCTCTCACCCGGCGGCGAACGAACGCTGACCCGGTTGCCTTATGAGCACCAACCTGCCCACCTTGGTTCAGCCTCTTCGCTGTTGATGCCGCCCGCTGCCTTGGCCTTTGGGGCTCGCCCTTCGTGGGACGGGCCTGCTGCCACGAAGGGCAACTGTGGAACTTGTACTTGCCCCCGAATCTCTGCATCCTCAACTCTCTCTCTCTCTCTCTCTCTCTCACCACACACACACACAAATAGTGGTGTGTCGTTGTGCCTTGTTGGGTTGATATGAGTAGACATGGCCACGGTTTCGGAACCGGCGGTTCCGGTTCGTGGCCATGTATGAACCGGAACCGGCCGGTTCCGGGCCGGTTCAGGTTCCGGTTCCTGCCGGTTTCGGCCGGTTCCGAACCTGGAGTGTCCGCTGCTCGGGAGCCGATTGTACGGGTGCATCGAATCCGGCGGCGGGACGGCACGTCGGATCTTCTTCTTCTGCTGCTCCTCCCTCGCGCGCTCTCTTTCCCGCTGGCCGGATCGTCACATCGCCGGCGGAGCTGCCGTGGATTCTCTCACGCTCGCGCGCTCCTGAGTTTCGATGCTTCGTTCAGTTCGTTGTGGTTTGGACTCTGGAGAGAGAGAGAGGGAGGGAGGGAAGGACTTCCAGACCTGGGCGTCGTCTCGGTCTCTCAAAGGCTCCTCGCATTCGCGCATCGCGACGGCAATCGACCGGGCAGCGCTCGCAGCTCCTCCGTCGCCGACGCCGCCGCCGGGGATTAGCTCCATCGGCGCCGCATCCGCGCCACATCAGTTACAGTAGAGGCTAGAGAGCGGGAGAGAGCGGGAGAAGTTCCGGTTATCTTTTTAATTTTCTTTTTATTATTATTATTTTTATTTTATTTTTGCCCGTTTCCAAGGCAGCCTGCAAAGGCTGCCTTGGCAACGGGCCGCAGCAGGGCCTGCACGTCTGCAGGCCCTGTTGCAGGTTTTTTTTTTTTAATTTATTTATTTAAAATTTTTAATTTTTTTTTTGGAACCGGCGGTTCCAGGCCGGTTCCAAAATTGCTGGAACCTGAATCGAGCCCGTAGGCCACGGGCCGATTCCGGTTCCGAACCGTGGGCCTGGTCAACAAGCCGGGCCCGGGTTTGACCGGGCCTGTTCCGGGCCGGTTCCGGGCCGAAACCGGCCCGTGGCCATGACTAGATATGAGGCGCCCATGGCGTCGCAACCTCATGTTTAGGCTAAAAAAAGTCAAAAATTATGCAACACGGCATTGTTTGAGTAAATTTATCCATGTCAAATTGCTGGTCGGGTCATGCAAGACGACCAGCGATGATTGGACCGTCATTTCATCAATTTTAGGCGAGAATTGGTTGTGAGAACTTGATTGCGGTTTCACTCAAAAGTTTAGAACTAAATCAGTTTAATTGAAATGTTTAGAATTGAATTTAAATCCTTACAATAATTTTAGGACTATTTTTTCCTGTTTCGACTAGCAAAATTCGTTTAACTAAATGGATCAAACTGAGATCTAGACAACCCAAACATGACCTCAACATTTCAACTAGCTTTGTTGAGATAAAATGAATTTTTATGGATTTAGGGAAAAAAGAAATTAAGCAATGAAAAAGAATTATGTTCAAGGTTCTATAGATTTTATTTTGAAATGATGTATTTAATAAGTCAATAGATTTATCTACATTAAATGAAAAATTGTAGTAGTAAAGATTCAATCATGAACTTAGTTCTTTTTGTTTCAAGTTATGGGAGAATAATCTAGAAAAGATATTTAGGGCCTGTTTGGTAACCGGCCAAATAGTGCCTGATTCTATTCTTTTATTCCCGGGAACAAAAAAAGAACAGAAATCTTTTTTGTAAATTTTTTTGTTCCCGGGCATAAATTTGTTTCCATAATCAGTTTTGGAACAGAATCAAGAATAAAAAAAAAGTTGATTCTTGATTCTGGGAACAAGAATCAGAAATGGAAAATAAATTTTCTTCTTCTTCTTCTTCTTTCCTAGCCTATGGCCGATGACCGGCGATTGACGATAGGCCAGGGCCGGCGAAGGTGAGGGATGGGCCGCGAGCGTCCTTGCTAGATTTGGCGAGGGCGGCCCTCGCCCAGGCTGTGAGCCGCCCTTACCGGATTTGGCGAGAGTGGCGGCGAGTGTCCAGCCCTCGCCAGATCCGACAAGGGCGACCCTTGCCCTTGCCCATGCTGCGAGGGTGGCCCTCGCCGGCCCTAGCCTGTGACCGGCACCAGCGACCTGGCCATGGGCCAAGGAAGGAGAAGAAGAAAAAAAGAAAATAAAAAAAGAAAAAAAGATAAGAAATTTTAAAAATTTTAAAATATTATTAATAAAAAGAATTTTTGTGCTGTTACTAAACGCATTTCTGTATTTTCTATTCCAGGAATAAAAATTTTGGACAGTTACCAAACGTTTTCAAATGTTTAGAAATTATTTCCAGGAATAGAATAAAAAAAAATTATTTCTGAACAGAAATTGTTTTCGGAAACAGAATTGTTACCAAACATACCCTTAGAGTTAACACCTGCATGAAGTATCAAGAACGGTAAGTGTCAATATTCAGTAGTACTAATTAATAACTAATTTAAGTTATATTGGTCAATGTGAGTCATATAATCATTGGTCTTATTTACATGATCCATTTATTAAAAGGACCAGACGGGTCAATTTCGAGTTAAATATGATGAATTCATACCAGTCCATATAATTATTTGAATTCCGATCGAGTACGATACATATTAATCGCCTGAAGTAAGTTGACACGATCATCATATAGGATGAACATGATTATCATAAATTCAAACTCGCTAATCTTCTGTCGTGTTATTTTATTGGATCAGAAATTACCGCCCCTAGTTCTATTTAACAAAAAAGTTAAAAAAAATGTTACCAATAAAGAGATGAAAGAGCTTGACAAGAATCGAAATGATTGCACCTAGCTTAGAGTTACCTGTGCAACCGTTTGTCTTAAAAGGTTAGAAAAAGGGAGTGCATAATTTTAAGAACAAATTAAACGGTTGCGCACTTGACTTCAATAATAAGAGTGACTCGAGTGTTATCGATTCATGAACAATTAACCATTGTTTAACTCCAAATTACTATAAATGTCAACAATCGTTCATACGTTAGACCGCATTACTTTTAAAAATTCATAAGTTATATGTGTAAAGAGAGAAACCATGGTTAAAAAGTGACTTACAAAATCATGTACAAGTAGTGAAACTTCCGATTGGAACTTTGAATACAACCCACTTATTTAAAAATCCAACATATTAAAGTTTATCAAATCACCTAATAATTCATTTTCTATAAAGACTAACAAAATCTACATGCCCTAGAAACCATTATATGAGATTTTTGTTTGGTCGACCAATATTGCAAAGATGACAATTTTACATAAGTCACTCACTTTAGATATAATATAGGGGACCAGCGAGTTGCATTCTCGGTATGAAAGAGTTCTTTAGTAGGACCGATGTTGTCGCAATTGTTTCTCGAGATAGTAATATAAAACGTGTTTGTTTCGGGAAAAACTTCATTGGAAAAGTTGTCCAAAAAGTCATAAATCTATTGCACCTTTGCCAATTCAGTCTCAAACCTTTTAATATTGCCAAATCAGTTCTAAACATTTTTAGGTTTTGCAAATTCAGTTCATCTGATCAATTTTCGCCAAAAATCGCTAACATGAACGCTTGCCGTCTTACGCGGTACGACCGACGTGGCACGGTCGGTGCTAAATGGATAACTTTTTAATAATATTTTCGATTTTTTTTTAAATTTTTTCTTTACTTCGTTTTTTTTTGTGTTTTTTTCTTTGCCAGCGAGGCCACGGAGGCCCTAGGCAAGATCATCACGGCCTCGTCGGCCGCGAGCGAGGGCCTTCGTGGCCCGCCGGCCACGGGCGAGGCGGCCCTTGCCATATCAACTCTTCAGGAAAACATTTTCCCTCTTTTCAGGCTCGGGAATCCGTTTTCCTATCCTTAAGCATGCGCATTCTCTTTGACCCTAAATGGCTTTCCCCCGACCATTCCTTCTCGGCAAACCAGACGTGCTCGAAAGTCCAGACAACTCGCCCCCTGGGAAAATCCTCTCGCTCAAACAAACGCACCCATTACCTCAATAATCATAGCATAGCGCAATTCATGTAGCGGTCGACCATAGTGAATCACATGAGAAGATACCTTATGTAATATAAATATGAACTCAACTACGATGTCCCCAGTCGCAGAGGATGCATCCCCCCCTCCCTCCCCTCGTAAGCATGACGTCGCGTTTACGAAATGGGAACAAATGGGTATGCAAAATGCACTCAAAAGTAGAGAGAGAAAGAGGGAGAGAGAGAGTTTGCGCGTAGACAGATGAAGACTCCTTGAAAAAAGGGTCGAGAGAGATAAGAAAGAGATCTGACCCTGGACACCCAATTTTCTTTTCCCCTTTATAAGATGCTTAATTAATTGCAACCAACTTGATTAACCCCACTTCATATTCCAATAGACCGCTGTAGACCCAATATATACTAGGGCTAATTTAATTCAATTCACGGGTGACGTATATAAAGAAGGATACGTTGTTTTCTCGGACCGGTCCGGTCGCTCTGCCTGTGAATGCTGAAGAAACTTTGTGGCCGCCCGTGGACCGGGCGACGTGTCGTATGAATGGATCCCCACGCTTAGCATCCGCGCATGATGATGGTATTTGCGTAAATCCTTGTTGTGACCATGGATTATGCTCGAGTAATCATGTTTATGTTAGTCTTTTTGGCCACTAAAAGTAACGTTCCATCTGGTTTAACTTTTCCTCCGCAGGAAATGGTAGACAGAGAAAGAGAGAGAGATTTGCCAGTCGCTGTCTGAAATCAGGACGAAAAATATTAAGGGCGCTCTCCTTGACACCTAAGCAGAGATTGAAACCCGAGCCCCAAGCCAAGACCCGACGTTTCTCGCCCTTTGACGTTTCACACCGGCCCTTTCACACCCGCCCCCGTATAAAATCTCTGTTTCCACGTCTCTTCTCATTCTTTTTCTCTTTCTCTTTCTCTCTCCTCAGCGCCAATTCCATCCTTCCGGTGCAAGCATTCTCATCACCCCCCCTAGATTCTTGCCCTATTAATATGGAAGGGCACTTCCCCCATCATCTTCACCATCAGCAACATCTTCAGCAGCAGCAGCATCGGCCGTCACTGCAGCAGCAGCAGATAAGCGTTAGCGTGGAAGCGGGCGGCGATAGGTTCCCGCAATGGAGCGTCCAGGAGACAAAGGAGTTCTTGATGATACGGGCCGAGCTCGACCGGAGCTTCATGGAGACGAAGCGGAACAAGCTCCTCTGGGAGGTCATATCGACCCGGATGAGGGAGAAGGGCTACAACCGGAGCGCCGAGCAGTGCAAGTGCAAGTGGAAGAACCTCGTCACTCGATATAAGGTACGTCCAAGGACTCGGCTCTAGCTTGTACTCGCAAATGAATCCCTTTCAAGATTCGTCAGTACTATTTTTTTTTTTTGCTAAAGATTTGTCGGTACTAGTTGGTTTCCTCGTTCATTGCCCTTATAAGGATGTTCCTTTATTGTCACCAAGTTCTAATATGACTTTTATCAAAAAGTAAGTGTCCATAGCAAGGTTTACATAGATGTGCATCATTCAAGAAAGAAACATTTGTCGATCCCCAAAGACCGATAGCCAAATCCCAAAACTCGAAATTAGCAGAGCACACCTGTTTACATATAGTGATAGTTCTTTATTGCAGATAATGGGTGCGCTTCTTCTCATGGATAAAAATATAATTTGATTCATTTTTAGGGTTGCGAGACGATCGAACCAGAAGCTATGAGGCAGCAATTCCCATTTTACAATGAGATGCAAGCGATTTTTGCGGCGAGGATGCAAAGAATGCTGTGGGCCGAAGCAGAAGGAGGCAGCGGTGGGGGAAGCACCTCGAAGAGCAAGAAAGCATCTTCTTCCCAGTTGTCTTCTGATGACGATGGTGATGATGAGGACAGTGAGGGCGAGAAGGGAAAAAAGAAGAAGAAGGCCAAGGGCAACACTGGCACGAGCAACAGCAGTAGTGGAAGCAGCAGCGAAGTGAGGAAGATATTGGAGGAGTTCATGAAGCAACAGGCACGGATGGAGGCGGAGTGGAGGGAGGCGTATGAAGTGCGGGAGAGCGAGAGAAGGGTGAAGGAGATGGAGTGGAGGCAGGCAATGGAGGTTCTAGAGAATGAGAGGATAATGATGGACAGGAGGTGGAGAGAGAGGGAAGAGCAGAGGAGGATGAGAGAGGAGGCTAGGGCTGAGAAGAGGGATGCTCTTATCACAGCACTTCTCAACAAGCTTAGAAGAGAAGATCACAACATGTAACTCTCTCTCTCTCTCTCTCTTCCCTCTCTTCATAATTATGGAGATTATGATGAAGAAGAAGCTTCCCCATGAGGTGTGTCTTCCTACTCCACAACTCTCAAATCTAGGAGATCAAAATTGAAGCGAAACATATGGCTTTGCATACTGTTTCCTGTTGTTTTTGCCTCAATGAGGCTTCTTTGTTTAGTACACAAGCTAGAGCTTCCATTTTCTCATCAAATCTATGAAAGAATCTCTCTCTCTCTCTCTCTCTCTCTCTCTCTCTCTCTCTCTCTCTCTCTCTCTCTCTCTCTCTCTCTCTGATATTTTTTTTTTGCATGCATTTCCATGTAGCCGCTCAGTTCCTCCAGAAAATAGAGCTCATGTATTGTCAATATGTTATTCAAATAGGCAATTTTATAAGATTAAGGTAATGATTAAATAGATAGATAGCCGTAGATGACACTAAATACAAAAGAAATAACTTGTTAAACCTACTAATTTGAACCCATATGGCCAAGGTCTTTTTTATGATGATATAAAAGAGAAAGGAGAAGCTTGGAAACCAAGCAATGTATCCATATTTTGTTTTAACTTGAAACTTTGATAGTTGCTATAAAACTATATATATAAAGGTAGGAGTAAAAATCACCACCTTAACCAGTGTATGATTGAAGTATACACGCATGAAAAAACTGCTATCAGTTGTAGATGTTGATGTCTGGATTTGTTTCGGAATCGAGTTTTACGTGGTGTGGCTCCAAAAATAGTGCCTAGAAAGAGTATAACTGGAGACTTTATGATGTGTATTGTTTCTTTCCCGCTAGATCAGTTCTTTGGTTTCAAAAGTTTAGTATGAACAACTATCGTTGGATTATGTTTCACTGAAAAGGGATCAGAATTCATTAGTGCAAGAACCCTGCTCGCTAGGTCAGTTCTTGGTTCTAAAACTTTGAGAATCTTTAGCTGCGTAAGTTTATATCATTTGATCATGGAAATAATATTTTTCTCATCGTACGTTGCCTTAATTTTGTTTGTGATCATGAATTGAGCATCCTTCATGTGAACCTGTCTTTGTTGCGAGCGTATCATGTGAACTTCATGTTGGAGATTGATTCTGGCCTTCAATTTTGAGACGATAGAAGCATTTGGAAATGGGAACAAGTAGACAGCTCATGTTATCGGTTTGCTGACTTCTTGCGTCTTATGCTGATAACGGAAACCTCTCCATGGACTTAAAAAACTAAAAATTTTGAATATGTCATTGGTAATCTCTTGTTCTAGATAATTAGTCTCCTAATTTTTGGTGTTTCTACAATTTTGCCTACTTTTCTACATGGTTAAGTCTCTCCATCACGACCGTTATTAGCAATGTCAAATTACTGACATGGCATCTTTGGATTGCCGTGGTGTCAACGACGCCACATTATCGAGATAAGGATCCACTTCCCTTATCATCGACCCAACCATAATTGTTGGAGGGGATTGAGCTAGGGTTCACCATCTTCACTAGTGTTCAGTGACACAATACGAGTTGCCAGGTCTTGACGATGGTCGGGTAGCTATGGTGGAGCTAGGGTTGGCCACATGGAATCGTCATGGCGTTAACGAGAGGTCGCATTGGTGAAGTAGAAAAAATCGAATCGAGCCAGGGTTTGCTACCCTCACAAGTACTATCCAACGGCTCAATGCGAGTCGTCAACTCTCTCAAAGGCCGGGAATCGGATGCGGAAACACATCGCCTACCTGCTGCTCTTTTCTTATCTTTGACAAGAAGAAAAACTTGTCTTACATCTTCTGTCATTGACAATGGCGAGAGCCAGTTGATCCTTAGTTGAAGATTATTTGCGGGATGGAGCTAGGGTTTTGCTATCCTCTTGGTGTCCAACGCGTTGCAACATGAGTCACCATCAACCCTATGCGTAGCTATGATTTTAGGCCATGGTTTGTCATGTGGGATTGCCAAAGTGCCAATTGGACACTACATTAGCAAAATAGGACAAAAAAGAGGGAAGAATAAAGAACGGAAGTAGGGAGTCGGTGAGGTAAGGACCACTATCCTTATCATCGACAAATAGGAGGTTGGATTGATCCTCAAGTGAAAATTTGCATGAAGGATTTGGCTGGGGCCTGCTACCCTCAACTAGTCCCCGACCCTCTTTCTATTTCTCTACCTTGAGTTTCTCCCTTTTGTTTTTAAATTTATTACAATTTGTTTCATGTGCTCCTAGTTAGTCATATCATTCTAGCAATTGGAAGGTGTTAGTGATGGAAGGATTTGCATATATAAATCAACAAAGTAAGAAGGCTAGACTAGACAATGAATATAGGGGAAGAAATTGCAAGAACACGAAAAAGCTGGGGAAATTGTCTAATTAGCCCTAAACCTATTATACAGATGTTGATTCAATAATAAACTTTTTAACTTTGACGATTGAGCCCTAAACTTTTTCGCGAAATTTCAATGTAATCCTTCCAGTCAAGTTTTGCCGGAAATCGCTGACGTGGCAATGTGTCACATATGATGACTAGAAATGACTGAACCGTCACGTCAGTGATTTTTGCGAAAATCGATCAGAAGGATTCCATTGAAATTTTGTGCAAATGTTTAGAACTATATTGGCAAAAATTAAAAAATTTAGGATTGAATTGGCATTTGCACAATAAATCTAGGACTGATTGGGTAATTTTCCCTCAAAAAGCTAGATCACTACTATTTTGGAGATAAGCCAGTTAAATAAACACGAATATTTTTTTTTTTGTATATATTTATGGAGTGTTTAACATTTTTCAAGTACCGGGCTAATTCGTATATGGTGTGGTAATCTTCGTATCCCACACAACAGGTAATTATAGAAGACACATGTATGTGCTCCTAGGGATGATCCCAAGGGAACTTGCAGGGTAAGTGTGTTGATTCGAATCTAGGCCATAAGACTTGATCAAACATGGATTTGACTGATTCAAAGCAATTCAAATTTTAGCTAACTTCAAAATCCACTGGATTTGGACAGTGTAACAACAGTTTTATATTCTATTCATTTAGTAAAGATAATGGTGATATTGCCAGAACACAGAATTATGTTATATTGTATCTTTTTTCGTCTGGTATATGTTATACACTTCTCAATTGTTACTGGTGGTCTAATTTATAGGGGAAAGTTAATCAAGAATGTGTTGCGCTCTCTCTTTGATCTATGTAAGTGTAAGATAACTTCTATGGTTTTTATCATTATATATGTAAGTGTAAGATACCATTGATTGGGAAAAAATTAGAGAGATATCTCTACGATTAGTTTTGACTTCCAAATTAATTTCCAGCAATGTGAAGAAGACGAGGCTAAGAACTTTGCTTTTATGAAAGCATGTAAAAGCGTATGAAATTTACGTATGTGGTTTAATTTCTCGAGCTATTGGTTCCTCTTTTGTGCACCGGCATGGTCTGTCGGTGGCTGGAATGTGAGAACTGGGGCCATCAACAACGGATTGAATTTTGACAATCGTGTTTCTTTAATATATTCTTCGAATTTCTCATGATTTTCGGCCTTATTTTCTTGATTGTTTGTCCGAAGTGATTAAGTTATAAATATCCTTTCTCTTTTCCAATGCAAGATTGGCTTACACATATGGATTTTCTATTAAGTTAAGCAGGAACCATACGTACTTGATTCGTACATTACATAGATCCGTTCATCACTGTACAACCCATTATTTCAAAATGTTCCGACTTTTAGAAAAAAATAGAAGAAACTAAAGACTAGCAGCATGCTGGTCAGCTCTCTAATATAATAAATTATTTTGAAAAAACAAGAACGGTTTCGAAAATTCAAATTCGAACCGTGCTTTCGTAGCTTTTGTCTCCAAAGCTTCTAGACTTGGTCATTATCATGTGACTTACGAAAAGTCAGCTTCTTCCTTCTGTCTTTTATTTATGTTTATTTATCTTTCGACACGCGTAGCGAAAGGGTCTTAGCTAGGAGATTAGGTGAACCCCCAAAACATTTCTTTTACCTTTCTCCAGATTAAAACTTTCTACCCTAATAATTAACTCTTCTCTCTCTCTGTCTGTCTCTCTCTCTTTTTTGACCAATTCCTCCGAAGTGAAAAATCTAGAAACTTGGAAATTGAGATCAATGAACAATACGACCATCGATTGGAAAATTGTTCAAAAAATCATAAACATATTTTGCGGAGGCTAATTCAGTCCTAAATTTTTCAATTGTGCCAATTTCATCTTAAATCTTTTGACGATCTGTCAATTTGGTCATAAACCTTTTGATGGTTTGCTAATTTAGTCTTAAACCTTTTGACGACGATTTATCAATGTAGTCCTTCTGGCCAAACATCCAAACAATAGGTTCAGGATGAAATCGGTAAATCTTAAAAAAAATTAGGACTAAATTAGCATAAAGAAATATTTAAGACTGAATTGGCAAAATCATCAAAAGGTCCAGGACTAAATCATCACAATCGAAAGGTTTAAGGACCGAATCGGCCACCATATAATAAATTTAAGACTTTTTGGGTCAATTATCCCGCTAATCAAAGCTACTGCATTCACCTTTCTCACAACATGCTTTTTCACTCGAATCTCCTTTGCCCAAAAGGGCTTGTGGCACGGACACGGTTTTAGGGTTTCGTGGATTGCATTATTTACAATCATTCATCTCGTCCAGCTCATGCACAATTCAAAAAAAATGCCACAGTTTGACTTCGAACCAAAAGGGCGCAAAAAGAAGACAAAGCGAGTGCGGTACTAAGTTAATGTCCAGCTAATGATTCGCGACGCATTTCGGGCAACCGCGTTGGTCTGTATGGATGGGAGGCACCAAAACGAATGGCAGCGCCCTCGCCGACATGCAATTTGTGGGAGATCCTTGTATTTCATATTATATGTAGGTTGTGTGTGAATTATATGCATGCATTTGATTCCGTCTTGTGGACGGTGGACCACCGCTGTAGGAGATAGCAACGGCAGCGGGACAGGGCGGGGCGGGGCAGGGCGGTGCGGGGCCGAGAGACCCTGGTCCCCCACCTTGCCCCATTTCAACTTTGGGGTCCGATTTTTTTTTTTATATAAACCGTCCGGCCAAAGTATCTCAAACATTCCATGATCATTTAAGGGCATATCGGCCACATCATATGTGTGAAAATCGAACGAAAATAAGACCCCTTTTGGAACATGCCATTTATTTTATTCTTAAAAGTGTCATATACGGGGTGCATTTTAATGACCAAGAAGCATGAGAAACAATCGGTGTGCTCTAATACCAATGTTTGGGTTTTGTCAATTGTACGTCAAATCCCAAAATCCGAGACTAACACCCATATGTTCTCTGATACCAATTGGTGTACTCTGATGCCATTTAGTTTATCCGCGCCAGTCGAGAGTATAATCGCGCGCTCGGACTAGCACCCATATGTTCTCGACCAAATATGCCCCTTGAGCTCAAAGAACACTTGCTTTTGCAATTTTTGGAGAGTATCTACTCTTTTTCTCGGCACCGACACGCACGACCACTATCTCATTTTCTTCTCTTTTAATGTGCTTTTTCACGGTCAAGCGCGCTCACCCACAACCGAGCACACCTTTGGCAAACATGCACAAAATGCATCGAGTGCGAAGGAGAAGTTTGTCTTCTCATGCAACTGTTCCCTCCAGGGAACTACCAAATAGAATGGGCTGGGCTTGGGTTAAGCCCAGCCCATTAAAAACTAACATAGGAGATATGTCATTAAAAAATTACAATGTTTTTTTTTTACCCGCGAGCTAAATGTATGATGAATTGGGTCGTCTTAAAAAAAGTTATGAAACCTAAATACTCCATTATAAATTTTTTGAATCAAATTGTTCTGCGCACGATAGCTTCGGAATCTCTAATGTCCTTCTCTCACGAATCCTAGAACTACTAAGAAAATAAGGATCCGTTTGTTTCGCGGAAAATGAATGATTTGAAAAACTTTTTTCTAAATGATCACTTATATTACTTAGAAAATGATTGAACGTAAAATATTTTTATCGTTCACGAAAGTGTTCATGCATACTATATTGTCAATGATGAAAATATTTTTTTATTAACTAATTATTTTAAGAGAAACAAGCGATCATATTTAGGAAAATATTTTCCAAATTACTCATTTTTCGGGAAACAAATGGATCCTAAGATCAATTCACTATTTGTGTTGCATCCCAAATAAACGAGTAAGCTAACCATATTATGCATGAGTTGTTCAAAAACGAATTTAAGGGGAAAATTGTCAAAAAAGTCCTAAACCTATAGCACTTTTGCCAATTCAGTCCTAAACTTTTCAATTTTATCAATTCAGTCCTAAACCTTTTCACTTCTTGCCAGGTCAGTCTATCCGGCCAATTTTGGCCGGTCAGTGTTGGCGCGGCCGCCAACCGTCCAGCCAACGCTGATGTGGCAATTTTAAATTTTTTTTTGAATTTTTAAATATTGTTTTCTTTTTTTTCTTCTGCACTTCTTCCTCTCTAGCCAGTCTGGCGACCGACGATTGGTGAGGTTGGCCTCGCCGGCCACTGGTGAGGGCGAGCTCGCCCGCCGTTGCCTAGGCGAGATCGAGGCCGACCTCGTCCAACGACGATGAGGTCGGCCTTGCCCAGCCAAGGCGAGGCCGGCCAGCGCCGTTGCAGGTTGGCCTCGCCACGGCTGGCCGAGGCCGACCTCGCTGTCGCTGGGTTCCACCTCGCCCAGCGATGGCAAGTTGGCCTCGCCCAGCCAAGGTGAGGCCGGCCAGCGTCGTCGCAGGTTGGCCTTGCCATGGCTGGCCGACCTTGCCATCGCTGGGTTCCACCTCTCCCAGCGACAGCGAGGTTGACCTCAATCTCGCCCAGGCAGCGGGTGGGGTGAGCTTCGCCAGAGGCCAGTGAGGCCTCGCTAGCCCACGCCTTTGGCCGGTTGCCGGACCGGCCAGAGAGGAAGAAGTGTAGAAGAAAAAAAAAAGAAAAAAAATTAAAAAATTGCCACGTTAGCGTTGGCCTGACGGCCGGCGCCGGCCGGTCAAAATTGGTTGGATGGACTGAATTGGCAAGAAATGAAAATGTTTAGGACTGAATTGGCAAAATTGAAAGGTTTAGTATTGAATTGGCAAAAATGCAATAGGTTTAGGACTTTTTTGACAATTTTCCCCGAATTTAAGTGTCATTAACAATTTTGGTAAACATTGTCGGACATCATCTATTCGGCATGACCGTGCCCTTTTTTTTTT